TGAGGCCCAGATTCCCAGCATCTGTGTTGTTTTCAGTGGCAACATGGGTCACAGACATCAGTACAGACCTTAGCTGTGATAGGACCACAGACCCAGACATGGTCTCAGGCAGCAGCCTAGACCAGGATGTCACTATGGTCCCAGGTAGCAGCACAGGCCCTCAGGTTAGAATGGCCTCTGTGGTATCATGGCCCTTGGACACCAACATGGCCCAGGTGGCAGCCCTGACCACAGGCCTCTGCACAGCCCTCGGTGGCAACAGAAGCCACAGACATCAACACAGGCCCCCTCAGCTGCTTCAGGGCCTCAGACAAAGACCTGATCCTTGGCAATAGCCCAGGCCTGGACATCACTTTGGACTCGGGTGGCTAGCAGGCCGTTCATGTCAGCAGGTTCCTCACCACCTTTACCTCTTCAGATCCATCCCTCTCTCCAGCCCATGAGCTCTTCTGCCTTTCAGTTCTCCACCCTGTACTCGCCTACCATAATGATGCTGGAATCCCAGTAAGAGGGATCCTGGTTGGGTCACAGGTAACTGAAGTGTTTATCTAAATTGTTCTATTATTAATAAAAACTCAGGAGTCTAATATCGGGGTAAAAAACCTGATGGATTCAAGAAGCAGAGGAGTAGTGACCAACCGTCATCTACATTTCCAGATCAAAGGGAGCATACAAATCCCAAGTCCCTCGCTACTCTTTCCTCTACAGTTTCTCGGTCCTTATTCCTGGCTTCTCTATGGTTAGTTAATTCTGGTCAGCAAGTCGCTGACTCCAACCCCTGGTTCAAGGTTAACTTTATCAACAGTTTCGGAGTGTCAGAGTGCCATCCAGTATCCCACAACAGGTAGCACTTGATTGAGTCCTGCTGGTCCCAGCCTCAAGGCATGACTTAGAGCTGTTGCTTTTCTTCTCTCATGTGCTCTGGCCTAGACACCTCCGATGGCTCTTACTATGATGGTGCCAGAGGCCCAGCACCAGAGGCATTGCCAGGCTCCTGGTAGATTGTCCCTCCCCAGACCTCTGCGGGGGCCCTCTGTGTCCTCCTCCAGCTCAGGCCTAGGAAGTGCTGAGCAGCTTCTAGTGGATTGTTGAAGATGCATTTGTTAATGTGCCTGATCACAAGATTGCTCCCCAACACTTATAAACAAGCAGTATTGACATTTGACCGTGTGGACTCACACACATGCCTCCTTGCCACTATGGGCCCCAGGATGCCCACTGAAGCAGGAGTTTCAGGGATCCCACATCCTTGCCCTATTTTGTCATCCCAGGCATTTACCAACATGATCTCCCTAACGTCTTTTTATCCCATCATCCACCTTTTTTTTTCTCATATCTTTCTCATGATTAGGCATCACCATCTTTCATTTTCCATGCTGCTTTTGTCTGACTAAAACTATCAAAACCTTCCAAGAGCCTCCCAGGCTATTTATTTATGTTGCCGTCAATGGTGGTGTCTTCTTGCATTGCCTTTGACTCCTGTAACTCCACCTAACTTACTTCACTTTGAGGACCCTTAAAAGAGAATTCTGCCTTACTTCATTTTCTTTGCTGACACAGATTTTTCCATGAAAAAACCCTCTCCTGTTTTCTTTGCCAGGCTAATGCTGACCATACTTTGAATACAGGTTTGTGTAAGATGCCTTCTAAATCTGCATCATTTCTTCTATCTTTTCTAACTAAAATTTTCTCTTTGCTGTCATTTCTTCTTTTCTCAGCAGCTACCACAGCAACTGATATATGGTACGGGTATTTATGTTCTTTTTTTCTATCTTAAAGGTTTTGCCTAAGTTTTCAGCCTGACTAAAGTGTGTCCATTTCTCCTTTATCAAAGTAAGAATATTACATGACATCTAATTTATAGTGTTTGGGACAGAAATTGTTAAAGGACATAATACATTTACAACCATATTGGAATATGATCAGTTCTAAATAGATGTTTGATGCCAATGTTATTGACTGCAGCATCATTACCATTTCTTCACTAGTCCCTTTAAGCCACCATTTCTTTATTTTTTCACTAAAAGTTTTGTGCATTGATTTTCTTGCAGCCCTTTCAACAGTTTTCCCTGGGTGGCTTTTGTCTGTGTAACAATACTAAAAGCCCTGACTTCAGAACATTAGTACCATTTACTCCTCCCTTTTCAGTGTCCTCACACCCCTCACGTAGAGAACCAATTTGAGTGAAGAGCACAGATGTCAGGAAACAGTTTCAATGTCCAGAGAGCTTGAGTGTGAGTCCTGCCTACCTCCTCCATTTACAGCCAACTAAGGTTGGAGTTATGTCGTTTCTCTGTCACTTAATTTCCTCCTCCTTCTTTAGTAGACACAAAATGGTCCTTACCTCAGAAGATCACTCTAGCAGTAACGGAGGTGAGAAGTTAGCACATGAGTCTATTACATGAGAAGTCTATGTTCCTCCTTATTCACAGGTACATGCTCATTCAATTATGACAAGTTGAGCTTTCACATTCATGACACAAACATAATATATACTCCTTTATAAAGCACGTGATATAGAAAGGACATTTAAACTAGTACTTCCACAACCTCATTAAACAAACAAATGGTCTGTCTTCTTGGCTGGTTCATAAGTTTCTGTATCTACTTCTAGCTAACAATATTCAGCTAATGCAGACAAATTAAACCAAATTTAGAGATAGCAATAAACTTTTGGTACATCTCAGGGCTTAATTGTTCTTAGGGAAGAGCTATTGTGTTGATATCTCTGAACGATCATTCTGTTCTAATGATGCTGACCTTTCACTGAACCCCAGCACCAGCATAGACCCTGTGGAAAGGGGAACAGAGGGAAACATAAGGAACACAGAACCCGAGGCCAGCAGTCTGGGCTCAATGCTAGGTTTTGTCACCCAAAGCCATCTGACCACGTGCTACTTACTGGCACTTGATTTTCCTAATTTTTTAATATGCAAAATAGGTTATATTGTAAATGGCAAGGCAGTAGAATTTGGAAGAGAGGTGTATAAATAATGTTAACAGTGCTCTGCACGTAGTGCTCTTGTGTAAATTTTTCTCCTTATTATAAATGTACATGATTATGAGACCATTGCTAAAGTTTATTATTGCTCAAAAGTCAACACAGTAAGTAAAATTCTACATAGTTTTTATCTTCCCACAAGTACTATTAGGCCCTAGGAACCAATGGCATTTTTATTGCAAATCATTTTAAAATAAAAGTTACAGCCATGCTTTATTAAAATGAAAATTGTTTACTTGGCTTTAAATTCTTAAGACTATATGTCATTTCTGTAAGCTTATAGTTAGTACCAGAAATAAAACACTGCAAAGATTTTAACAAAAACTTAAATTTCTGAACTTTTCAACTTTACAAATATTTCCAAACCTCTGAGTCAAGAATATGCTCACTGAGTCATTTTGTTGTTGTTGTTTTGTTTTCTTTTAATTTCAAAAGTTGTACTGTTGTATGCTCCTTTAAAAAAATTAAAGACGCCTCATATTACATGTTTCACATTCTAAAATTTCTGAAAATGTGCTTAAGTAATGCAGACATTCCTGCAAATCTGTATGTGAGTAGGGAAATCGAAACAGCATGGCCATGATCTCGTTCATATTCAGAACATAGGAATGTCTCCATTCATGGTTTTAAAGCCACAGCTATAATTTGAAGAAAATTCCCTTCCCAGGCCTGTGATCGAGTCCCTTCATCTAGGATGTAAGCACAGATTTGTGCTTTGCGTACCGTTTCTCTGTGGCATATGAGTTGAGTGGCAATGTGCTTTGAGTCCAGCTGCATCGCAGCTCTCATGTCTGTTTGCCTCCCAGACTCCCAAGACCTGTCATGTAGTTGCTGTTTACACACACACACACACACACACACACACACACACACACACACACACACACACACACACACACTGTGGGGGAGGTGTGTCCCTGAATTGGGGACCCAGAAGCAGATTTGGACCGCCATCTTGTTGTGAGGTATTATTCTCTCCTGGATGCTGTTACTCTGATATTGTCGATCATGTCAATGAAACAATCTTGCATCTGCACAATTTGCAGCAATTCTATTACTGTAAAAGGTTTTAGAAGTCTGTATGAGGTTAGCTGTTGGTTCCTGCTCAGCTAATAATGTGTTTGGATTCTACAAGCCTCATAGAGGAAGTTTTTACAGTTGAGTTTAAAAAAAAATAAAAGAAAAAGAAAAGAGATTTTGTTTATCATAACATGGGCCATAGAGAAAAATCTTCCCTGTCCAGAAAATCCATTTTTTCACTCTAGCCTACCTGGCAACTTTCTGATGTGAAGCCAACCTGGACACCATCTGTGTTCATGCACCCCTTTGTTCTGTTGAACCAGATGCTGTCAATTATACTTATTCTCCTAACTTAAGTAGCCAGAGACCATGCCAAGAGCTATCTGCAATCCACTCACTCTGTGGTTTGTTTAAAGAATTGTCAAAACTACATCCAGGTCTTGAGCGTTCCTTTCTATTAATACAGGTAGACATTCAGTCACTCCACTCCAGTTATTATTGTGCATTGCTGCCACGCTGCTTTACAAATAGAAAGTTTGAGGCAACCCCTATTAAATATGTCTGGAATGATTTTCTAAGTAGCATGTCCTTACTCTCTGTCCTTTGGCCATATTTTAGTGGTTTTTTAAAAATATATAAATAATAATAAATAAAAATATAAAAAAATATTTAAATAAAAAATTGTTTAGCCGGGCGGTGGTGGCGCACGCCTTTAATCCCAGCACTCGGGAGGCAGAGCCAGGCGGATCTCTGTGAGTTCGAGGCCAGCCTGGGCTACCAAGTGAGCTCCAGGAAAGGCGCAAAGCTACGCAGAGAAACCCTGTCTCGAAAAACCAAAAAAAAAAAAAAAAAAAAAAAAAAATTGTTTAAATGAATTCACTGCACACACACAGGACAGCAAATTGATTCTATCACTGTAGTGTGTGTTGTTCTTCATCCAGGTCATTACTCACACTCTTTCTCTCTTACTATCCTCCAGCTTCTGGATTCTCAGAGACAAAGCGATGCACAGAAATTAAGGCAATTAATTATCCTGCAATAACCTGTAAGTGTTTAAGAGACAGGAAACATGACCTGCCTATCTTCAATCAAAATCCAAAAATGATAAAGCTCAATGGAGAAGCTATGTCTAAAGCTATGATTGAAAAAAAGAAAGAAAGAAAGAAAGAAAGGAAGGAAGGAAGGAAGAAAGAAAGAAAGAAAGAAAGAAAGAAAGAAAGAAAGAAAGAAAGAAAGAAAGAAAGAAAGAAAGAAAAGCAGCCTCCTATGACAAGCATTTTGCCAAGTTGTGCATGCACAGGGAAGGTTCTTGAAAGGTGTTCAGTGTGTTACTCCAGTACTTCTGTGAATGATAATAAAGTTGAACAGTTTTACCATGGCTATGGAAACTATTTGAACATTCTGCACTGAAACCTAACCAGTCACACATTTCTTTGAACCATAGCCTAATACAGAGCAAGGACCAGTGCTGTTCAGTTCTGTGAAGACAGAGAAAGGTGAGACACCTGCAGAGGGAAAGAGTGATGCTGACAGAGGTTGATTGTCATTGTATAATGAGGCAGTGAGTGCTGATGTAGAAGCAGCTGCCATATCCAAAAACCAAGCTAAGAAAATAGATGAATGGCCCTAACTACACAACAGATGTTCTACACATCCATAGATGTCATCTAGGGCTTGTATAGCTTGAGGGGAGAAGTTAGTGCCTGACTTTAAAGCTCCAAAGAGCAGGCTGACAGTCATGTTAGGAAAAATACAGCCATTAGTTTGTGAATCATGTCAATGGTCATATTATTTTGGAGCCCTTAAGAATTACACTAAATCTACTCTTCAACAGCCTAGATCACTACATACCTGTTTAGATCATAGTTTCTTGTCACAAAAAAAAAACCTTTCAAAACATCCCCACTCACTGACAGTACACCTGGTTACAGAAGAGCTCTGATGGAGATGTATGAGACTACTGTTGTCTTAAGACTTCTAACACCATCTATTCTCACTCAGGATCATGTTTGACTTTCAAGTTATATATTTAACTAATACATTTCATAATCACATATACCAAAGATGGTGATCCTCTGGAATACATGGGCAAAGTAAATTGAACTTTCTGGAAAGGATTCACTACTTTTATTTATTCATTTAATTGTGTATTTGTTTTATGTGCAGAGGTGTTTTACCTGCACATGTAGAGGCCAGGAGAGGGCTTCCGATCCCCTGGGGCCAAAGTTACAGATGGATGGGAGCCATCATGTATATGCTAGGAAATGAACTTGGGTTGTCTACAAGTACTCCTAACCACTGACCAATCTCTCCAGCCTTGGATTCAACACTAAACTATCTGACAGCAACCTTCAGAAGGCAAGATCCTCTGCCAGCATAAAACACATAACTTGCTGAGGTCTCAGAGGTCTCAGAACTTAGCAGCATTGAGTTAGAGCCCTAGCCTTGTTCAGATAATGCTAATGTGCACTTGTTCAGACAGGTCTAGCATGAATGGAATTCTCTGATTATATGATTATATCACATAGCTCATAGGACTGTTTATTATAACATTTGCTTTTTTCCTATTTTAAAACTGAATAACATCTCCAAACTTACCTGTCACCACCCCAATGGTAAATTTCATATATCAACCTGTTAAAGCCAAGGGACAAACACATTTTTGGTCAAGGGTTACATTCAGGAGACTGATGGCATGTTTCTAAATGAGCTAAGCACTGGTCTCCAGCCTGAGCGGAGCAAACCAAGCTCCTGAGTGAGTGGTCAACAGGCTTGGCAAGCAGCATTTAACTTTCCCTTTATTTTTATTTTTTGAGAATTTCACATATGTATATAATGAAATACCATATTTATGTCCCATATCTTCATCCAACTTTCCCAACATATCCCAACATTCTGCCCTCCCGACTTTCTATCTATCTTTTTTTTTTTTTTTTGGTAACACACACCAATTAGTGCTGCCAATATGTGCATGGGTATGGCACCATTCCCTGGGGGCATGGGAAGCCTCCCAGTTGGCACATCCTCAATAAAGAAGGATTCTCCTTCCCCTAGAAACTATCCACTGCTAATAATTCCTCAGTATGGAATGGAGACTGGAGATCATGTACTCCATCCATGCTGGGATTTTGACTATCTTGGTCTTGTGTAGGTGTTAAGTTTTAAACTCATACTAAAACACAGCCTCTTACTCAGTCTCAAAGCTGTTATTTTGAAAAAAAAACTGAACTTATTTCTGCTTCTTGACTACATATCTTAACACCTGTCAGTTTCTAGTTCCATATAATAATTATGTGTATCTGTATATACCTCATATATTATTGATTTTTGTCTGTCTATACAATCCTAATACCATATATGTTTCAGTGTTAATCAGATTTTAATGGTTCTTCATAACAAAAAAGACCTTGCAGACTTACAGAAACAAATGTGATGAATAAGTACAACTAATATTATCTAACCTTGTGTTCCCTCTAATAGTCTTTCTTTGGGCTCTTGCCTAGAAGCCTCACCATTAAAATGTGTGTGCTGTACCACGATAACCCCTCCTCATGCATTCATGCAGCTACAAGAAAGCACTGAAGTCTAAATTGCTCCTCAATTGTTAGATATTATTATCTTATTAATAAAAAGAAGCAGTGCTCTGCACAGGGACAATAGACATCAATCTGTGAGGCATGGTCCTGAACTGAATAAAAAGGAGAAAATTTGCCACGCTCCAGCATTTATCTCTTTCTGCTTTCTTAGCCAATGGCACATGACAAGCTGCTATAAAGTCTTGATGCCCTGAAACAATACATGGATCTATGAGGCTAGTCATGGTCATATTGCCATTCTGCTATGTTCCTTTAACAAAACAATAGTATTTGGTCATCGCCTAGGTTCCTGGGATGTCTAGTCTCAGATTCTTGGTCATAGAAGCAGAGCATAGAATCCATTTCATGGAGTAGGCTTTAACTCAAATCAGATATTGATTGTTTACTCCAACAAGCTTTGTGGCACTAATTGCACCAGCATATCTAACAGGCAGGTCAGTCTTGCAGATCAAAGGGTTTGTAGCTGAATTTGGTGTTTACCTTTACATGCAGAGTACTTCCAAGTACCATGAACACTAGTTCTTAGGAGTAAAGGCTTTAGCTAAGCACTAGCTGGACTTCTTCTAATTCAACGAGTTGTGTAGGTATTGTCTTCAGCAACAAGGTTTTGCCTCAGTCTGTGGGGAGAAATCAATATCCTTGACATTAGCCTGGGTTTTCTAACAGACCCCTTTGGCAAAAAAAAAAAAAAAAAAAACCACCCTCAATTAGATGTAATCCATTAATCTACTTCCCATAATGGAGGCCTTGTTTGGTGATAAGAGATGTCCAGTTGGGGCTCTGCCTCCCTTTTATTTGGCAATTTTATTCAGATCACCATGCATATATGGAAGTTTCTACTGCATTAGATTTGCACACAACCCCTCAAATGGCACTTAGTTTTACCTATTCCTCCCTCAATTCCCTCCCTTGCCTCCCTTTTTCCTCCCCATCTCTGTTTTATCTTCCCATTTCAGCCCCCCCACCTCCTATCCATCCACAACTATCTACTCTATTTCCCCTCCCTAGGGAGTTCCATCTCTTTTTTCCTAGTCCCTTATTCTACCTAACCTCTGTGCTTCCATGTATTGTAGCTCACTTATCAATGACTTGACAGCTAGCATCACATATAAGCAAATACATTCCTTATTTGTCTTTCTGAGTCTGAGTTACTTCACTCAGAATTAGTTTTCTAGTTCTATCTATTTTATCTGTGAATTTCATTATTTCATTTTTTAACAGTTTAGTAACATTCCATTTTGTAATGTACCACATTTTCTTTATCCATTCATCTGTTGACATGCATCTATGTTGTTTTCAACTTCTAGATATAATAAATAAGTATTTATAAATAAAGCAGCAATGAATATGATTGAACAAGTGTCTATGTAGTAGGATTAAACCTAATTTGGGTACATGTCCAAGCTGGATCTTGAGATAGATTTATTCCCTTCTTTCTAATGAACCACCACACTGATTTCCATAAAGGCTGTGAAAACGTTCACACCTACCAGCAATAGATGAATATTTGCCTTGACACACATCCTTGCCAGCATGAGCTATCATTTATTTTATTGACCTTGCCCATTCTGTTCGGTGTAAGATGAAATTTCTTTCAAAGCAGTTTTGGTTTACATTTTCCTGATGACTAGGAATATTGAGTGTTTCACAGCAATTTGAATTTTCTCTTTTAAGAATTCTCTATTTAGGTCTGCACCCCATTTTTTGATTAAGTTGTTCATTTTCTTACTGTCAAGTGTTTTGGAGTTCTTTATATATTTTGGATATTAGCCCTTTATCAAATGTACAGTTAGTAAACTTCTTTTCCCATTCTATAGCCTGCTGCCCTGTCCAAATGATGGTGTCCTTTGCTCTGCAGAAGCTTCTTGGTTTTATGGGGTCCTGTTTATGAAGGGTTGATGTTAGTGCCTGTGCTAATGATGTTCTATTCAAAAAGTCTTTTCTTGTGCCAACAAGTTCAAAGTGATTCCTCACTTTCTGTTCTTTCGGGTTCAGTGTATCTGGTTTTATGTTGAGGTCCTTCATCCACTTGGAGTTAAGTTTTGTACAAGATGATAAGTATGGATCTATTTGCATTCTTCCACATGCAAACATCCAGTTTGACCAACACCATTTTTAAAGATGCTGTCTTTTTTTCCAGTGTGTATTTCTGGCTTCTTTATCAAAAGTATAGTGTCCATAGGTATGTGGATTTTTGTCCCTGTCTTCAATCTATTTCATTGAACAAGTCTGTCTGGTTTTGTGTCAATATCATGCTGTTTTTATAATTACAGTTCTGTAGTACAGCTTGAGATTGGGGATGGTGATACCTGCAGCAATTCTTTTATCATTCAGAGGTGTTTTAGTTATTCTGAGTGTTTTGTGTTTCCATATAAGGCTGAAAATTGTCTTTCAATTTCTATGAAAAATATTGCTAGAATTTTGATGAGGATTGCATCGAATCTGTAGATTGTTTTTGAGAGCAGCCTATCATTTCTGCTATATTAACCCTGCCAATTCATGAGCATTGGGTGCATTTTCTGGTATCTTCTTGAATTTCTTTCTTCAATGTCTTAAAGTTTGAAGTTTGTATTATACAAATCTTTTACTTGCTTGATTAGTTACCCCAAGACATTATATATCTTCAAGGCTATTGTGAAAGGTATTGTTTCCTTGATTTCTTTCTCTAGTCTATTTGTCATTTGTGTATAGGAAGGCTATTGATTTTTTGCACATTAATTTTGTATCCTACTACTTT